GGCCGGGAATTTCCCACACGATGTTGACACAAGCGAACCGCGACAGACGGCCGTTAAAAACCCTCCACAAACACAGCACATGACACACACACTCACACTCGCACCGAAAGGCCATACGAATTCCACACAGTCCACATCCACATACACATCCACATCCACATCCGTTTAACGTAACGATCGAGGATTTTGTTGGACGAAGCAACACCAACAACCACAACAACCAGCCAGGCGGCGAAGGAAAGGAGAGTGAGAGCGAGCGTGCGAAGTCTGGAAAGTGGAAGGAAGCGACTAGCGAGTTCTCCTGCTCTCCTGGTCCCTTTTCCAGTGTCTCAATTCCCAGTTCTCACGCGAGCACATGCCAAAACAGACAGGGGATCGAGAGAGTCGCAGGGAAAACAATTAACAACTAATTTAAGTCTGTGCATATAATTTCGAGAGTTGTGTGAGAGAGGATGCGGACAAGGGAGGGGGTGAGAAAGGTGCCTTATCTGCAGGAGTCGTGTGAAAAAATACGTTACATTCCTGCCGCCGGTTCGGCATTTATTCCCACGCGATCCTCATCTCTCGTTTTTGTTGGTTTTTTGGGTTTTCGTTTTCTCACAACGAGCATACCCAGTGGTAGCAGGATAAAAGGGTATATTGGACTCATCAAAATGTATGATAGGGAAGGAGGGAGTGTGAGTCCTGAGCTACAATGATATGTTTTAATTTAAGTCAGCTAAGAATATTAGTATTCATTTAATAAATATTAATATAATATAATATAATATATTTATAATAAAATACATAAAATATAATAAAAATTAATGTATTATTAAATTTTGTAAAAAATGTATATAATTAATATATAATAATATTAAATGTTGTCCAATTCCTGGCGAAGAATAAACACATTAATTTTTAAAATACCATTGAAACCATGTCCTAACAAGCCATTAAATAATACTCAATACACAAAAATATCAATATTAATAAATAACAATAATAAAATTCCATCCTGCTTACAAATATTTTAAATAAAAATAAATCCCCACAAGGTATCTTCAAGTCGTGTCACTTAACCCAATGTACTTCCTTGTTGTTTTTTTTTGTGTGTCTTCGTTCACACGCTCGGTGCGTAAGAAAGAGAACTTCGAGAGATGAGCAAGGGAGGGATGCTGTCGCTGCTTGCTGATCGCCTGTTGGAAGATCAACAGAATTCAATTGAAATTCTCACGCTCCAAGGCAAGGAATTTTACCTGCCGTGAAAGGATTACGCCCACATTAGCTGTGAGATCTTTGGCTCAAAAACGAAGGAAAGATCTTTCGTTTTTTTTAGCTGAAAAGGGAAGGAAAGATCTCTCGATATGAGAGTTGGATTAACTCGAAATATGTTTTTGGGTTTGCTGAAAGCCGCTTATAAAAGGTGACACTTTCAACCCTCTTGGGTCTCAAGACGATTTTAAGATGTTCTCGCCCAGGAAACTACTATTCATTCTGTTTTCCTACTAGAGCCCAAGATATGGCACGACTTCTTTATTTTATCTTTTTTTTATTTTGTCTTGGATTTCCAGTCCAGTTCCAAGAACAACCCTCATTTGTGAGTAGAGTAATCTTCCCTCCTCCTGAGATTGCTGTTGTCCTGGTAACGTCCAAGACATAATGTTTCGATATTCTTTCTCATAATGAGGGTTGCAAATGTCTCAAGGGGAACGGGAAGGAGTGAGAGCTAAGACCTTCTTGAATAGTTTCTGGTGGTAGTTTTTGCGACTTTCTTTGAGCTCAAAGGTAAGCAAAGGTGAGTCCTGCTTGCTGGCAAAACTGTTACCCTGTTAGCAATTTTAATCGAAGCGAGGATGGTTTTATCGCATTTGCATATCTAAACGATTCGAAAGGACCCTCGGAAAGTGTCCTTGTCACTACGCTGTAGTCCTGATACCAAACACTAATTAGTATTCCCTATATAGACTGCATTCTCACGCTGCAGGAATGTGAATTCTCAAAGGAATCCATAAAAGACTCGAGATTTCCTAAGGTTTCGTATATCAGCTTATGCCTTAAATTCGGTCTCAGGATCATGGGTTTAAGGATGCTGCTGGCCTAGTAGAAAATGCCTAATTAAGCCAATATACGTTCTCACGCCTCGACTGACAACAACAAAGAATCACAGCATGTGGCATGCGGCGTCGTTCCAGGAAAAAGTAAACATAAAAAACTATCCCAAATAAATAAAAAATACACATTTCTTCTTAAAAGAAACGGAAGCTGAAACAGGAAATGGCAAACGGTAAGATTAGAAATCAATTTCCGGTTCGAGGAAATGTTTTTTCGAGTGGTAACAAAATCCATTTCCTGTTGTTAATAACAATTTCCGCATGAATTGGTGCCGCTTCCGGTTGATCCTGCAGGTGATGATCTTTTCTCAAGATCGTGCGCTGCTTCCTGAGGCTATGTTCTTGGCCTTAATTATGGATTAGGTTTTAGGGATGCCTCAGAAACCACTTGTTGTTCCTTCTGCTGTCCTGTTTAATAATTGTCAGTTTTAACCACCACTTGAAACGGTTTCCCACGCGACAAACCCATAATAGTTTTCCCATGAAAATTAAATCGTTTGTAAGACGACCTTCCCAAGGATTTTCTTAGGTTCCTTTTTTTAATAACTCTTGTGTTGGTTTTATTTTTTCCCATTAATGCAACATTTTTTCGGTTCTCTATTGGGATACCTTCACTGATTTCTCACACGCCCTTATCTTTGATCTGAGAAAATCTTTGAACAATTTTCCCAGGATATCAACAAGTTACCCATCGCTATCCCTTCGGTTCGTTTCGTTTTCAGGTAGAATAGAATTTTTCAAGAGCATTTTTTCACAACATCACAGCCCTCATGTTCTGAAAATTCTGTTTTCCTGGTTGAATTTTTCCTGGGGCTTAAAGAGTTCAATGATTTTCTCACGACGAACTTAGATGGTTATCTTATATTCACATTTTCACACGACTGATGAAAATTGTTCCCACGAAGCCACTTTAAAGAAGGTATTGGAATGAAAATGGGTCGGAAAATGGGACTAAGAATTCCCAGGACTATTATATCAGGTAGCATTCCTAGTGGAAAACCTTATAGAGTCCTGCCTTTTTAGATGTTCGCCTAGTACATCAGCATCTATTTTCATAGTTAAGATATAATTTTCACACGATCCTAGACAGGACAATTTCCCATGAATACATCCCCTGCATTAGGAATGTATTAAAAATGCATTTCGTGTAGTTTCCCATGCAACAGGTTGCAGGAAATGGTTTCATCGTGTGCCCCATTGCAGCTGCATTTTCCCAGGACCCTTTGGCAGGTACCAACTGTCTTGCTTCGAGTGGAAAACTCTCTGTGACTCGTGCAGCTTTTCACTCTGCTGGCCTGGTGCTAAAGTTCGAAAATATCACATCTGGTTTGGAAAATTCACACGCTTGGGAAATCGTCCCAGGCAGATGAAAAGGTTCCCACAGCTGCTTCTGCTGCAACCCAAAAGAATTTTTTTATTGTTGTTAGGAACCGTTTTTTAAACAATGAGGGAGGGTCCCTTTTTTAAAAATCAACAGGTTTCCCGGAAAATGGGTGTCCCTTATGCAGTCGATTTCAGCTGCATTTTCTCAGATTCCTCGGCAACAGGTAGTTGAAATTTCGGGAAAACTCTAACTTGGCTGCAGTTTTTGCTGTTGGCCTGGTCCATGAGTTTTCCAACTGCTTGATAATTTTGGAAAACTCTCACGATCAGGACACACGCTTTTAGAAGATTTAAGGCTCGGATAATTTTCCCACAGCTGCCACAGCTGCAAAATCAAATTCATTGGGAGGAAACGGTTTTTTAAGACCATCTCTTTTTTGTTGAAAAGGTCAAATGCGATTCCTTTTCCCAAAAGAAACAGCTGCACCTTGACAGGTGGCCAACAGGTAGAATTTCGAAGACGTTCTGCGGTGGCAGCTACTGTAATGGCTGTTGGCCTGATCCATGATTCTTCTCTGCTTGATATAAACACGTTTAATTCTCACGATTCTCAGAAGATTCAGGATCAACGTAATATCCTTTCTTGACTTGAGCAACAGGTCCTACCTGCCTTTCTTCGAAGACCACAGGATAACGTCTCTTCACTCTCCTCACTCGCTGCTTAATTTTCTGATCTCCTATTGAAAATGGTATAAAATTAGACAAATCTTTAAAGATTTTTCCATGGCTTAAAAAATGCATCCCCGGAAAATATGTTACCAAAACCAAATTTCAAGCAAACAAAGGATTACTTGGTTCCCAAGTATTTTCCCAAATATCGACACATGTTGACTACCTGCTCGTGCTCGTTTTCCACACATTTTCCGAGCACACCTACCACTTTTGCTGTTAGCCTAGTTATTTTTTGGAAAGGTTTCCCAAGCATTGGGAATATTTCACACGGTCCCGGCCCGTGACAATACCTCCGAGGAATCTTTGCCAAAGGTTCATCCTATTCATTATGTGTATTCATGTTTCAAAAACTATATAGCCTGTGCCGGTCTAAGGTTCACACACATCTGTCAGCCAGATGTGGAAATGCGATAATGGAAATTCTTTCAATAGAAAACCCACACAAATCCCTTGGTTTTATGTGTTTCCAGATTCCGAGAACTAAATCCCAAAGCGGTGCCCTTTGAGTTGCCTTAAATTCCAAAGATGGTTCGTGCGGGTACCTGAAAAACCAAGTTGAGAGACCTTTTTTGTCATGTGTGCGTGGGTTTCCAAGAGATACCCTTCTTGTTTTAAATTCTGTGTTCCTGATATATCAGATTCATTTGGCGGAAAGGAGACAAAGAGTTTGAAAATCTTATAAATCGAGAGTTCTGTACATTCTCAATTGCAGCATACTTTTAGGAGACAAGAAAGTGTATAATCATCACCCAACGAAATTATAATTTCAGTATAAATAATAATTATAATAATCCGAAATCAAACTTGTTTTTTTTGTATTATCTTATTCAGTGTTCTTTTTAAGACTTCCCCTCACTTAAATCTCAATTCGAGGCAACCCAGATGCCTATTGGGGCCTTGGAAGGGATTTCTGATGGTCACACTTCGGAAATCTCTATCCTTTATGTCCATATACATTTGATGTGGGCACCTTGAAGAGCAGGAACTCCTCCCACAGGTCTGTTCATTGCCTATGCAATCGAGAATGAGACGCCTTGCGATCCCTATATTATAGCTGGTTGTGTAAATCGTATTGAAGGCACATTGCCGTGAGGTTCTTATGCGATTTCTGGCATTGGACTCTGCCCCTCCAATAAGCCTTTGGAAGTCATTCCAGCTTTTGGCAACCTCAGCATCCAGGGGGATAACCTAATTTTATAGAATATATTTGCAATTAATTTAATTTAAATATATGGATAATATAATGCATAACTTACTGCTTTCTTGAGACAATTATTAAAACCCAATTGCGACTTTTTGTGCATTCTCTCGCATGTATCCTTGTTGGTGTTCAAAATGTAGGTGGCATACCTTTTGATGTTATTACAACTAGTCAGGGCACTACTTAGGATCCCATCCAGGTAAACCTGAACCCCGCAGGAGTTCATGGAAGCCCGAAGTTGACTGACTGAAGGCACCGTTGCACTGTAGTTGGCCACGCATTGACGATGCCAGGAATCAATCTTCTCGTAGGGTCGGATCCAGGCCCATGTCTCCTCCACCTTGGCCTGCATAAGTTCGCTCTGCACCTTCACAGCCTGGATGTCCTTACCGAATGCCTTCCGAAAGTTGTCTAGTGTGTCCTCGCACATCCTCAGTCTCTCATCGTAATGGCTTTGGTGGAGTTGCAGGAACTCTGACATGGCCTTAGTGACATCCAGAGGAGGTTCTTGGTATTCACTATGTGAATGGGACGTCACTTTCGTGGCCAAAAAGAAGGCACAGCAGATAGCTACGTTCAGGTAATACATTTCGATGTTGAATGAATTATATGGCGATCGATCTTCTTTTTATAGCTAACAGGTGCCTTCTGCCAAACATGGCTAAATTTTATTTAATAATCGTTATGTTTTTTCAGCTGTCTAAAGGCTGTTGTTTCAATATGCACACTTCTTTGATTATTAAACAAAACTGATAGTATTTGTTTAATAGAAGAATTCATATTTAATTTTTGTTTTTTGGGTTTAAAGAAACATTGTTAAAATTTTACGGGATTTCAAGATAACATCTGAGCTTGGTTTTTGTTTGTAGAAGCTTTTCTTTGTTAGTTTAATGAAGAATGAATTTAAGAGTGTTATACAGAAATGATTTTAGTTATTTAAGCCTTTAAAGTGGATAACAAAATAAGGCTAACCATTGTTGCTCAAATTGTAACCATTGTAATTTAAAAAATTGTACATAGAATTCGTCCCTTAAGTCCCTTAACATGGGATTGAATATATACTTTTTTATGGGTTTTAAAGTCTTAGTAATTCTAGAGTAACTTAGACAGTTAGTATATTGTCTAAAAAGTACGATCTTAGTGTTGTTAAATAAATATTAAAGTTTCAAACTAATTTTACAGATTATTAGAAAACAATGCAATTTATTTTATTATAAACAAATAACAAGAAAAATTTAATCAATCTTTTAAACAGCATAAAATAGCATTTTTATAAGTTCATGTCTTATCTTTTCAAGTTAAGATTAGAATAACAATTTACATATAAATTTCCATCAAACTGAATCTGTTTGCTCACTACCAAGACCCCTCTTCATTAATAGAACCTAAACTCCAGGCACTCCATGTTTGCAGATACTGCCTTAAAGGGATTTGCGATGGTGGAATTATCCCGGATACCCGCCAGATCTATGAACTTGACATGAGAACAGCTGGGAAGACAGGAAGACGAGCCACAAATAGTCCTTTGTTCAATGCAAGTGTCCACAAGATTCACGGCAACTTCCACTTTGGAAGTCATGGCATACACCTCCTTGAAGGTACATTGCCAGGAGGTTCTGATCTTCTCGTTGGCCGAGCACTCGGCGGTTTTTAAGTTGGCATTAAAGGTGTTCTGGTTGGTTATGGTATACCTATTGGTATCACTTATCTGCAAGTGCAAATATATTGAATTAGTAATTATTTAAATGAACTTTAAGAAGAGACAACACTCACTGCATTGGTCACACACATGGTGTAGTTCAACTTGTTGGTTGAATAATACTTCACACAGCTGGCCAAAGCGTTCACCAAGGTTTTCGTGTACTGAGTCCTTAGCAAGTTTAGGGTGTTTTCCGCAGGACTTAAAATGGTGCCAATTGTACCCTTGCAATTGGCCAAGGACTTCCGGGCCACGCTGACAGTTGGTAGGCCGGAGCTATAGTTCTGGACGCACTGCCTGGTCCAGGAATCGATCTGAGCAATGGGTCCCAGGCGATCGAAAGCCTCTTCCAGCTTCAGCTGCATGGAGTCCGCCTGCACATCGATGGGCTCCAATTGCTTGGCAAACAGGTTCCTAAAGTTGGCCAACTGATCCTCGTAGAGCTTCAACCTGTCATCGTATTGCCGCTGATTCTCGTGTATATAACCCTCGAGGGAATCGGTGACATCCGTGGCCTGGGTGAGGACACAACCCAAAATTCCTGCAATAATTGCAGCACAAAGAAGCCTCGGTATCTGCATCTTGACTGTGAACTGATTCCGTCGAGGCAACTTCCTTTATATAGACTCTACCCAAGAGCGCTTTCTTATCAGGCTTGTGTTTTCCCTTATACAAAAACTGTGACTCCCCATTAAGCATTGGCTTTTGCGAATAATAAAAATTCATTCTATATTTTACAATGTGGAATTATCTTAAGTTCTTTGAAGGCTCTCAAAGTGTTTTCTGTGGCGTGATTCCCCAGAATTTCTTTGAATCTACCCCTTATCGTGTCTTTTATATTTGCACAAGTTTCAGAAATAATTATATTTGCAAACAGAAAGCATTATATAGGCTTATTCAATAAAAAAAAAAAAATAACGTGAATTTCTTAGAAACAAAAAAAAATTAGAGCAACATAACCATGGATTGTTAATTATTATGAGAGGGTTCTCATGGTTTATGTTATCTTGTTTGAGTTGCAAGTTCAAGTTGAGTTGTGTTTCAAATGTAAATACACGTTATAATCAATGAAAATACATATTGCAGTATCAGAGATTGTAAATAATACTCATTTTTACTTCCAGTTCGTAAAAGGCCATGACAAATCAATGAATCCCTGTTGTCCTCTACAAATATTATAATTATTGATTGTGAATTTGCAAACCCGATCAAATTATTGTCCATAAAAGGTCACTAAATCTGTAGAGTCGCCCACACCGATTGCCCACCAAGTCACCAAATGGAACTTTCTAGCTTTTCAGAGTTTGATTTGAACTTTGTTTTCTATGGTTTTATTAAGCATACGAATAAATATCATAATAATTAAATACAACAAACGCTTAGGTTAGGGTACAAACGAAACCAAAACAAACACAACTTGCTGGGTTAGTTGTACAGGATCGGATCGGATCGGATCGAATATGGGTTTAGTTCTTGACCAACTTGAACCGAGCTGCCTCGGCATAATCCCTGGGATCCGAGAAGTTACGCTCCGGCCTGATGCGCACATCGTTGGGATCGGTGACGAACTCACCGCTCCACACCGGCGGCAGGACCGTGGGCTCCGTGTTGTAATCGAAATAGTCCTGATCATCCGAACGATTCCTCTCCTGCTTGAGGCGGGTCTCGCCGCTCTTCACAAAGGTGCCATCCCATTCGGTGGGCAGGACAATGGGTTCCGTGTTGAAGCCGTAAAAGTTGTTGGTGTTGGTCACATTCTGGTTCTGCCGGCGGATCTTGGACACATTGTTAACAGCTCCATCCGGATAGACGAACTTTCCGTTCCAACCCTCGCACTTGATGGGGATATAGTCCTCTTTCCTGCGCAGCGGCATCTTGGATTTGAGTTTCTTGTTTATTCACGGATATATTGCCAAGTCAGGTTGATCTTTCCGCGGCGCGCTTGCAAACACGATTGAGTTGCTTTCGAGCGGATCGTATTCTAAAATATGATTTCACCTTGTTTGAGCTCAAATAAACAATAAGAAAACAAAAACTTGTCATGTAAATGATCGGTTGTTTGCCACAGAGAGCAGCGGCAGCAGCAGCAGCCGACCCCCGCGATTTACTTGCGGATATTTTGAATCGCTGACGTCAGGGCGTGAGTCTCAGAGCGGTTTCTTCCGACAGCTACAAACGGGTTCGGGCACTGAGAGAAATTGGGTAGTAGTAAGGCAGGTATTAAAAATAAACTATATTATTTATCACTTTCACTATCACAGTGACACGCTAGGAAAATATTACTGATCAAAGAAGAGTTATATTTATACAGACTTGAATAATACTTATCGTTCATATGATCACTGATCACTGAACAGTATCATTTATTCTGGGTATTATTTATTCCGGGTTCCCTAAAAATTCCAAACTAATTTTTACACAGTTGTAAACCTTGCCTAAATTATGTTACATACATATATTATCCATATTTCTTCAGTTAACCTTGTTTATATATAATTATTATATTGTTTAGGTGGTAGTTGCACATTATCCTTAGAAAAATTTAGATTCTAAAATTTAGATATTTCTAAGCAAGCTTTTATACACAAATTCTCCATCATTAACTATATATAATAATAATCATTGAAACAAAGCTGTAATCCTTCCTTATATACCTAAAATTCCCATATGCTTCTAGAAAATTTCGTAAGATTTATTAAGTTACCAATGATTATTTATGAATTCCACAGTTAAGTCCTATATTATCTCTGTGTTGCTCCAGGTCCTTCTTTAAAACTCTAATTGCATAATATCCTTCCCTGTCACCCCCTTAAATCGTTTTTATAAATTCCAGTACTAGCACCCATTTTTCCTCCGTGTAGTTCCAGGTCGCCTCCTCCGCAGGTTCGCACTTCGTTCGGTGGCAGACAATGGCGCGTCGCTTGGCGCTCGGCTTGGCCATATAAAGTCATCGTGTCTGGCAGCTCAATGGCGCAGATCCCGGCCCCAAGCTCTGCCGGAGAGTTATGGCGCTGGCCTAGCTGTCATAGGTGTCTTATGTAAATAAATATGTACATATATCTATATCTTGATTTGAGCAGATTTATATGAATCATTTGTAGAGCCGGCAGCAAAACAGACTTGTTCTGGAGGTGTTTCGCAATTAGAATGTGATTTATTTTGGGAAGCTTGCCGATCTATTTCTGTAGATAAGTTGTGGAAATAATAAATAAGTAATCTAGAATAATTGAGATATTGCTTCCTCGTACAAGAAGGCACTTTATATAATCTTTAAAGGCATTGCAATTATTAGCATTTTATTATTCAGAACCTTATAGGGTTGTTTGTTATTAAAATTGGATTAGATGGATCGGGGGTAAATTTTACTAACAATTATTAGATTTATTTAAATTATATTCTGACTACAATCCCTTGTTTTTTACTGTCAATATATAGTTTCAACTTTTAAAGTTATATAGTTTAGGGTTTATAATTCATAAACTTTTGAAATTACTTTGATATATATGATCTTTTTTTAAATGCAATAAATTATTATAAAATAATTAAATTGCCACAAGCCCTAGTCACCCACAAATCTTATCGCGCACATTCCTGACCCTTCCCAACAATTCCAAGCCAAGTTATGACTGCCTTTGGGCCATTACTCATTTCCGACGTTGGTTCGTGTCCATGCTAATTGCTAGTCTCATCATAGTTTTGCCAATTAAGCTTTGCACTGACAGCAGGCGTACAGCAGTTCCTACATAGAAAGGTACACTGAGGAAAATTATTGAATTATTTTTAAAATAAATTATAAATTGTTAAAATTATTTTAATAATATTTATTTAATTAAAATCTAGAAAAAAACACTTGTTTTTTATTATCAGGGCTAAGCTCATTAAAAAAATACCCATTTCAATCTAAGAAATTTAATTGTTTAAAGAAAACATATTTAATAAAGTTGAAATATGTATTGATGTATTGTTTAATATTTTCTTTTAATTATGGAAAAAGTTTTGTAATTGATTAATTAAGTAACAAAGTAATTATTGTAAAATGTATCGCAACTTGATAAAAACTGTGAATTAACTTATGTTTTCAAACATTATATTGCTTTTAATAGACAAATATATAAGACAAATTATTATTTGTCTTTAGTTTAAGAAAAGTAAAATATAAAAGAAAAAGAGAAAACAAGACATTTATATAATCTTAAGTTTAATTATCTTGGGATATAAAATATATTACGTATAAAGTATAAATATATATAATAATTTTAATTTCTTAATGATTTTTTTCACTGTGCCGCTCCTTTGGGTGTCCGCCTCCTGCTTCGCATTCCTGCTGGATGTGGATGCGTGGCTGGCTTACCTGCGGGATTGGACTTGGACTCCCTCGCCGTGGACCATCGCCGACCTAACCTCCCCCGCTCTCCCCGCCCCGCCCGCTCGCTCCTGTGGTTAACTCCTGCGCCGCTGCCTCGTTAGAAGAAGAGACAGCAACGCCGGCAGCAGAAGCAGAAGCAGTAGCGGCAGCAGCAGTTTGAAACTTTCTCATTTCGGCTCGAATGGAAGAGCAGAACGGCCTGGCCTGGCCTGGCATGGTCTGGCATGGTCTGGCATGGCCTGGCATGGCCTGGCCTGGCTCGTTTTCGTTAGCCGGCCTCGACGTCTGCGCATTTGCTGAGCGCCTAGTCGAAAATCCAACTAATTGCTTATTTTAACCCCTTGAAAACTGGGCGCACACACACATACACACATATACCAGGGCACAATGGGACCCGGGGTCTGCGGGCCTTCGTGTTTATTAATTAACAACACAAAACCCCGAACCAACAAAAGGCCTCACACACACACACACGCACACAGGCCAGGCACGCTTAATCCAAGTGCTGTCTCTGGCATATTCATTAGTGTTCATTAGTGAAACAAAATGCTCATTTACTTAACTACTCCGGGACTAACGAGCTAGCTAGCTCCCTCTCACTCTCTCACTCTCAGCCTCCTGCTGTCGTCGTCGCACTCTCCCATTCACCGTCTCTTGCACCCCCCCTGACGCCCACTGCACTTATCGGCACTCGGCAAGTCACTCGGCTCCTCCACTTCTCTGCCCTCGCGCTCTCTCTCTCCAGCCGTCTCTCTCTCGTGTTGCCAATTAAAATTCCACTTATGCCAAGTTAACTCACTTGGCTCGTTAATTGTTGTGGCTTTTTAATTGGACCCTTTTTTTCTCCTTCTGCCGCTGCCGCTGCTCGCAGTTACCAGTTACCGGCTTTCCAGTTACCAGCTCCGATTCAATTGAACAACAACGGAATAAAGCGCCAACAACTACAGCGACGACGTTCATAATGAATGGCAAAAAAAAAAACTTGCGCGTGCTCTGCATCCATTTGGGGCCCCCAAAAAGCCGTGCCCCCCTCCCAAGTCCCCAGGCCCCCTTTGGGGTCCCTCAACTACTCCCCGCTCACTGACCGACCAGGTTCTGTTTTTTTTTTTTCAATGTCCCATTTGGATGGCTTATCGCTTAGGGTTGTCAGGATTGTTGCCGTGTTAGCTTAATTAAATATATTAATATTATATTTTTCAGTATAGTTTTCCTTTC